TTTTTTTTTTATGTGAATCTTATCTATTTATCCAATAATATTGAGTACAATCAAAGCAGCAAAATGTGTTACTACAGTCTTAGAGTAAAATACAATGAAAAAACTGTTGAAACAACTAACTCTCCACAATTTTCTTAAGTCCCCATCGTTGAGCAATAATTAAAGATAGGGAGAATGGCCTCCCACAAGGAGAGCCCATAATCTTTTGCCCAACTTCGAATTGGATATCAACAATTAAAATTGTCTTGCTTTTGAAAAGCTAATTATGAATTCTTCTGTTTCTCTCCATCCACATATACTAAACAGCTGCAATCTAGGCTAACTTGACTTAAGAAACAGGTAAAGACGTACGCCTAATTCTCATACCCATCCATGTCAATATGCCGTGCAAAGAATCATTCAAAGGAATACAAGTCATACCATGTAGCACCTTCCATACTGCTTTTGAGTAGCTACATTTGAAGAATAAATGTTCACGTTGTTTCAGATTCCTCATTGCTTAGAACTCATGAGTCAACCATACTAGGAGTCCATTTCTTTTGGTGCGCCCTTGTGGTTAGTCTACCAAGGATGGTTAACCAACTAATGAAACTGTGCTTAAATATTGTATCTAGAAAGCAAATTAGTTTATACCATTGCTTCGTCACTTTGTGCTTCCCTCAACCAATGCCATGTTTTCCCTCTTCTGAAAGTAACAAAATTAGAGGGTATCCATATAAGTCATTTTCACCCTCTCCATGATAAAGCTTGTGAAACAAATCAATCTAAATCTGCAGAAGTTGAGGTCACCTTGCTTGGGGCCAACCCCAAAAATTACCATTAACTGCAATAGACAGTTTTGCTTAATATGGTATTTCAGCATCCCTAACAAGCTGAGGTCCATAGCCTCTACCAAGGCTCCTGACAGGTGCCAATTGTCATACCAAATATGTATTTCTGCACCATTTCCAGGCATATGCTGAATTAGTATTCTAGCCTTATGTCTCAGGTTAAGGATCTTCCTCTATCCCCAGGACGCATCAGTTGGGACCTTCACAGTCCAAAAACTACTTGAAAGTACAATACATTTTTTATCAACAAATTTATGTTGATATTAAACAAATTTAGCCCAAGGTTAGCCTTTACAATTTGGGTTTTTTAGGTCAACACGTGTATAAATTTATATTGAAAGAATAAATATTAATCTTAAATTTATTAATTATTTAATTAAATTTATTAATATAACAATAATACTAAAATTAACTTTAATTTATACATTTCTTTATTCAAATGTATAACAAAAAAATGCCCTCATAGATTAGAAAATTTTCAACTAAAAACCATTCAAAATTAAAAATTTAACAATCAAGATTCACATTTAACCTGATTGTAATTATCCACCAGTTTACCAATTTCTCACTATTTGAAAAAAATAAAAGTAAAAAATAAAAAAAACCTGTTTCGTGCTTCAGTGTTCAAAATCAAAAGAAAAAAAAAAAAGTGTCAGTGACTCGATTAGAGTCCACCGAGTTAAGACAGACTCAGCCCCATCCAAAACGGAAGATGCTTCAGAATATACCGCGGTGGCACTCTGTACTAACTCACTAACCCGATCTTCATGCCCCCCATCCGGATGACGCCCCTTTCCTCCCAATTCCTATATAAACCTCTCCCTTCCCTTTCTCCCACTCTGCACATTCAAAATTTTTCCTCCTTCTCGATTCCCTCTCGGAAATCAAGAAAACCGTCACCGCCGACGCTCACATTTAAACCGCCGCACTGCCGTACGAGATCGGAAATCATGAATTCTCCGTCACGTATTCTCTCTCAATCGGAGCGAGAACACCTCATTGAGAAACTCCAGGTTTTCAAGATCCAAGGCAGAGATAAGCGTGGTCGTC